GACAATATCTCCAAGTATATATTTTTTTTTCCAATATATTATAAAATAAAAAATTAAATTCATAAAATATTTTAAAATATTATCATTTGATAAAGAAATAAAATATTATTTTAAAATTAATGATTAATTAATTAATTTTTTAAATTATGATAAGAAAATTTCATCTCACTTCATCCAAAACGGCGAGTTGTTCGTCGCTGAGATCACCGACTCTTCCGCTCATTTTTAATTATTTAAACACGTCTATACCTTTTTAACTATTACCAATGGAATATTTTTGCTACTTTAAAATTCTTTCGGATAGATGTGGTATATTTTCACCCAGAAACCGTCATGGCGCATTAGCCGTGACGTCACTGGGTGATATTGATTTAGTCGATGTTTTATTGGATGTTTTTAAGTCGTGGGTGGTGAAACAATACGATGACATTTACTCTAGCCATTATTATTATTATCTTAACTAAAATACGTCTAATGATTAATCGATTTTGTTCTCGTACATTTATCGAAATCAATCATTCTCTATCGGTATTTTATTTAAAAAGATTACTTTTTAACCAATAAAAGAACGCGTAATAAAATATCCTCCGTGATATATAGTGTTAATAAAATTTTTCCCGTAGACTATTAATCTTATAATTCACCGATTTCCCTTTTATCTTATTATATTTTAATTAAAATTTCTTGATTTATACGCAAGGATAATTTTTTTAAAAATATTTAATTTATTATTACAAAATTATTACACGTTTTAATAAGTTTTCCCAAACAATTAAGCTGATTAATTACGGAAATAATTTTTTAAAAAATATTTCCAATTTGTTTTACGTTTATTTTCTCAAAAATGAATATAAAACGTGAATTTTTTTAATATAAATAAAAGTTATGGACTATATATATGCGGGTTTAAACCATAAAATTGAAATATTTTCTCAATATCAAGTGTTTCAATAATAAATTTATTGATTTTACTTTACATTTATTATTTATTTTGGCTGCGATAAATTGAAATATTTTAATTATTATTTTTTTTCGGTATAATTAAGTTCAGACGGAATTTATTGATTGAGAAATTAGATGGATTTCGTAACTTTAAGCCTGTTTGGCAGCATATATCTATGATACACTGCCAAATAGGCTATAAGACTGGCATCGTAATTATACAGTACTGTATATCACATTGCTAAACACTTCTAACTGGGAAAATTATTAAATAACAATATCTTTTGAAATCTTGCTTTTTGAAGTGAAATAAGACACTTATATTTTGTTTTAAATACATAAAAAAGTTTTAATAAAGTCTAGTTTTCAGTACGTTTTGACTCAATTATTATTCGTAAATTTGCCGGATTTTCTTGATCTAGTTTAATCTAATCTTTGCGTTATACTATAAATTAAGACAACTTCCCTTCTTCGATTCAATATGAGATATATATTTATATAATGATGCTGCTATATCGATAATATTCTTTGGGTCAAATTAAATTATTGAAATTGATAACTAGAACGACGGACGTTTTCTGTATAAGCGCCATTGCCTCAAACAGTAATAGCACCTTTAAAGAACAGATTTCTTTTTTATATTATTCTTATTAATTCATACAAATATTGAATAATTATGTGATATTTCTCGAACTTGTTTATCTGTATTATCATTAATTAAACACGGATTACACATTATGATAATTTCAATAGAAAAAAAACGGATTCGTAGATGTAATATAAAATGTACAGTTATATCTGTATATATTTGATCAAACTATTATGAATAAGCGATATGATTCTAGTTTAGTACTTTGTTTTTCATTCAGCAATACCTTTAAAGTTGTTTTCTTCGCGTAACATCAGCCATTGACAGAAAAATGTATTTTACAGGAAACAAGTTTTTGTTTTTAACTTTACATAAAATTTATATTAATATAATACAATACACCAACACCTGAAAGACCAAGTTTTTGATTTATAATACACAACAAGACCTCATTTTGCGTAGATGAGTTCCTACAAAATACAATGCAATTTGAAACAATGCAAACTAAAATAGAAGTTTTCATTGGAAACCATTAAAATATCGAAGATACACTCCAAAACTAGAATTTTAGAGAAATAAAATGTAATTTATTGTGTAAAAAAATATTGAAATAAACTGAAAAATAAAGTTTACTTACAACTTCCACAAGTTCAAATATGTTAAGTTTATAATTATGAAGTTTAATTAAGACTATTTACAAAAATTATATTTTCGAGTCTTTTCTTTATCCTTATTTATCATATTCATGGTAGTTATGGTGAGAAATTGTAACCATTGTTTTTAATGTTAAAAGACGCCGAATCCTCAAATAAAAAGTCGGCGTTTTGATCAGTTTTAACTTTGTGTGAAAAATTTTTAAATAATTTATCACAGTTTAGTCCTAGTCAATAAATATCAATCAATCTTTTTGCCTCATGCTGTTTCACCATTTTACTTAACGTTATATCATTTGTACCATGACACAATATTTTACTTATTTAAATGACTTGAGAAAACGAATCAATTTATTATAGTTTAAATAAACCAAGGGCAAAAAGCAATTTCTTTATATTATTACAGTTTATTAAGTAATTTACTGTATACTGAATGGTTCTTTTTAGTTATGCTTTTTTTCTCGTGTACAAATAAGGTACAAAAACAAAAATAACGGAGTTCAAATAAATTTTTTCATTTTAATTTCTAGGCTGAATTAGTAAGAAAAATACAATAATAAAATTTTGTTCTAATCATTTTGAAAAAATGTATTTGTGAACTATTTTCAAGTATTTTTCAAGCCCGATTTCGATCTCCACTCCACTCTTGACATTCACAAAGTGTTTACATAATAAAAATAAATAAAATTTATTAAATTAAAAGACTTTTAAAAACATAGTAAGATGTTTTTTAAATAGCTCTATTGACGTAATATATAAAATTTTAAATGATATCTCGCTGGGTCCCAGTAATAAACTATTCGCGAACCGCGTTGGTCCATGGACCATTGTTTGAATAGCACTGATCTATTCTACAAATAATAATGTTAAGGCTGGTTTTCACATTACCAGGAAACGGAAAAGAAAGCGGAAACGGATAAATAACTAGATTCCGTTCTCCTTCATTTTCTGTTTAGTTCTATTTCCACAATACCATAATATCGCGAGTAGACTTAAGTCGACTGTACTACTTAGTATCCGATCTTAATTGGAGACTACGTGATACAATAGACTTAAATCTGAACCAAATTGAATTAAACTCAGTACATATACAGTGCAGAATACCGGAAAGAGATTTACGGGGGAAAATTAGTTGAAATTTTCACCGCTAGGGAAAAATGTGACGCTATTCAGTCGAAAACGTATGTTACTGGCTGTGGGGTTATTTGAAAGATCGCGTTTATTAGCGGTGTGTCCACTCCGTGTCGGAGCTGAAAGCCAGCATAGTGCGACACATCTCCCAGATTCCTCCTGAAATGTTACGTGCGGTAGTTAGTGACGCGGGTTTACGTTTGCAATATGTGGTTGACAGAGAAAGATCTTATATTGAGCTCATACTGCAAATGTTTAAAATGTAATTTTATTCTTCAGATGGTAGTGTAGCAACTCGTGTATCCAAAAGAATATTACAAGAATCAAGAAGGTGTTTTCTCAAATCCATCACTGTCGTTCCACAAAAAGAACACCAGCGTCACACGAGACATTAATTATTTTACCGTTACGTTTACGAAAACCTATTTAATCTAAATTGCGCAGCAAATGACTATTTTGCAACTCAAATTAGACAATAAATATGGCGCTGGAGTCCACATTCCATTAAGAAAAATTTCACTGTCTCAACCTCTTTCACTCAAATAATAAACATATTTTAACCAATATAAGTCTCTTAGTCGTTGATCACAGTCCAGGAGGAACGAACTTTTCCTTAAAAAATACATATAACTAGAGAACAATGCAATATTATTTAATAATACTTTAACTATAATAACAGGCCATGGTTTAAAAAAAAAATTATCATTTATCCTTGTGAAAGTCTTGTTTATATCAATTTTCGATAATCATCTTTTGGTAAGTCAATAAGTTTATTCAAAAACTGAAACAAATTTATTGATAAATTAATAGCGAGAAGAGGTCTTCCCAATTCCATTCTCAGCGTAGGTCCTGAGACAGATGTATTAATATGGAACACTGCTTAAAGTAGAACAACTGTATTGCCTCAAATCTGTCCACTAATAGACCATCCCAAACCGGAAAAGCACAAAAAGTACTTGTTCCAATCAAGGAATCAAATAATCTAAAATAATTATTTAATGAAGATCCTTTAATTTTAATAAATGACTTCATGAGATCGGAGATTTTAGCTCTTGCGTCAAGTAAACGTTTATTTAAATGATAGGAAAATGTGCTCTGTGAAGAAAAATAAATACCTAGATATTTAAAATTTGACAGAATTTCCAGTTTACAGTTTTCTAAAGTAAAATTGTCTGATTTTTAAGTTTTCCATCCCTATGAAAAATCATAAGTCTTAATTTATATGCCTTTGTGTCCTTAGTAGACACTTTACATACTGTGAGGCTCCGGAAATAGCCCCCCAAAAAGAAAGATATGAAAAAACTTGCTAAGTTAAATCGTCAAGAAAGCAAATTATATAAGTGTCTAATCGGTGACACCGGACTTTGATGTCGACGCTCAGAGAATAACGGGAGAACAAAATTTTAGATATAAAAGAAGAAAATTTAAAATATTAAAGTTAAGATGCGGTTTAGAAGGTAAAACGAAACTAGAGAAATATCAAAATGAGCGTAGGTGTCATAGTCAACAATTAAACGCGATCATAGTCGAAAGGATGGTGTCGGATAAACCATCTCCAGCCGACCTTTCTCGCGAACTTTACGAAGCTCCATTTACACCTGGAGACAGGTGGAAGACCAATTAGAAAACGGTGATGTAAGGTCTATCCAATTAGCAAAAAGCCGATCCCGAAAAACTTATAAAAGCACCAATTCCAAGGACAGCGGGACTTCCACTAAGACTTCCATTAGACTTCTGACAACATTCCCTGATGTCTAGAGCGTCGACATCAAAGTCCGGTGTCACCGATTAGACACTTATATAATTTGCTTTCTTGACGATTTAACTTAGCAAGTTTTTTCATATCTTTCTTTTTGGGGGGCTATTTCCGGAGCCTCACAGTATGTAAAGTGTCTACTAAGGACACAAAGGCATATAAATTAAGACTTATGATTTTTCATAGGGATGGAAAACTTAAAAATCAGACAATTTTACTTTAGAAAACTGTAAACTGGAAATTCTGTCAAATTTTAAATATAAGAATTCCATTAGACATTCTCTCCATTAGACTTGTGTTCGTG